GTTCCATCGAAGAACAGGTTTGCCCGAATTTCCATGTTGTAAGGACTGAGGGACACCTGGCTCTCGTCGTCGCTATCGGGAAAGACGTACAAGAATACCGGCGGGCCGGGTGGTCCAGGTGGGCCCGGGGGACCAGGGGGTCCTGGTGGACCCCCAGAAGTTGTTGGCTGGCTGCAGGGAAGAAGCACACATCATTTTCAGTTGCCTTGGGACGCAGATCGTCATAAGTTTACTTCGTGCCCTTACTCTAAGGCACAGCAGCAGCCACTTCTGACTCAGTTTTCATTGCACTCATTTGGATGGCACAATGGTCGTGTTATTGATGTACAATTGTTGTGCATGCAGCATCCTCAATTCTGCAAGCCACACGGCCGTCTCAGCCCCTCTCATTCATGTAAACTTGCTGATTTGATTCCACTGCATTCTTAGTGATAATAAAGTTCAGCACGACAGTGAATTTGCATTGCTATTTTTGCCACAGACCGTACAGCACAGTGTAGCACCCACTGCATTCCTGACGTCAGCCCTGATGGTCAACGTTGTGGGGGTGCTATCCCCCGTGATCTATGGTACTTGTATAAGAAAGTATCAACCGAGTTCCGCCCCCCTCAGCCCACTCAACTATCCAGTCATGCATCCCACGATCAGAAATGCCTGCAAGCCAGGGCACCCAATGATTGTACTCAGAATACAAAGTCTGATAAATGTCAGCCCATCCAGCATCCCTCGCAAGGCTTCACTCCAGAGCCTCTGAATGACGAATTGAACACGCAGGCGAGCGAATGAAATGGCATTAACAAGAACACGATCCAATGATTCCTAAAGTCCCGCTAGTAAACAGCAGTAACGCATAAGTGATTCCATATAGCCAGGACAAAATCTTCCCTAATGAGCAGCCACGATTCATGAATTACACCCAAAACCAAAGGGAAGTCGTATGCAAGTATGATCTGTGAAGAATGACACACCTCGGCCAAGGGGGAAGCGGTGGCGGTGGCCATTGAATAATGGGTGATGGCGGGACAGTGGGGGCCACTGAGGGCCCCGCGGCGCAGGTGTGCCAAGGAATCTCCCAACTGATCTCCAGCCTGTCCGTTAACGTAGAGAATGCCATCTGGAAACACGACATCCACCGAATCCATTGGACATAATTGTTGTGCAGTGTTGTGCATATTCGACCACGGTGCCAGCGAACAATGCATTGACTTGGTGGGTCAAAATTTGAATTGAACATACACTGAACGAATTAAATCCGGGCATGATAGATATACTGCGTTTTCCCAGCACTTTCAAGCACTTCAGGTTGCGGTTGAGCGCAGTGCGCATGCTCACATTGTCGGCAGGAAAGAGAAGCTCAGAGTAGTTTGAGCAAAAGGCATTGATGAGTGGGGGCGTTCCATCTGCTGTCAAGAGGCAACTGTCCAACCCAGCGGAGCGGAAGTCATCTTCCTCGAAGAATATGTACCCATTCTTGTGCACAAACAGCTGCGAATATTGCCGTCCAAAGAAAGGAAACACCCATTTCCCTGTACATGCACACACAGAAATCCACCGTTGACAATTCCTAAATGCGCTGAATATGTTCACACAAATGAATGGTCGAAAGGCTAATATTGCCCGAAAGTCTTTGTCTTGTTGAAGGCGCCCAGCACAAACCGAATCCTGGCACCTGGCAAGCATGTCGTAGCAAATCACGGCAGTGGCACTGACCAAGCCACCGCCAGAAGTCAATCGAGATACCGAATCACCTTTCGAATCGATGGAGGCATAGTCCTTTCCATCGTCAGCCTTGAGGACTGGCAAATCAACTCTTTTCGGAATGTTCTGGATCACGCAGGTGGAATACACCTCCCCGACGGATTCTTCGCTGTCACGTGGAGTGAACATGACGGAAGAGTTGACGAAAGGAAACGAGCCGGCGTTGAAGGCGCCACCAACAATCACCATTGAGCCATTTAACTCCTCTGTAGGCTCATTCGGTGCCACGGCCGTGGCGCTCAATGGATGTGGAGACTTGATGCTGGGCATAGGCCCCGTGTCGCCTATTGAATAGCGTGGAGCAGTGTCAGTGCTCATCCCTCGAATGCCACTGCCAATATCCCCAATCGAGACGATTTCTGGCGAAAGGGCCGAATTTTCTGCGTGATACAAATCTTCACTTTCGGCTTCGGTGCTCAAAGCATCCAGTGAATCTTCCGGCATTCGTCCGCTGGAATATGACTGGCCAAGTTCTTCTTGACGTCGTGCCACTGGAGATCCAGAAAAGATTCCAAATGCTGCCTGACACGGTATCTGAGGGTTTCGATTGATAAAGGAGATCAGCAGGCCTCCGTCGTAGAAAAGCTGGAGATGTACCTTCATAACGCCGCTATTTCACGGCACAAGCATGCACTCCAATTGTCAGACTGAGTTTGTCCCGCGCTGCATTTCGTGTATGTCAGCATGGCAAGAATGAGGTCCCCTGTGACACAATTTCGCATGTATCTACACAGAGAAGAGTTGTGTTGAACGAACAGCGCTGCACCGGGTGAAAACTCAGTTCGTCTTCTAAAGCTGGATCGGGACAACTGGCTATGTCTTTGACGATCCAGAATTTTAGGGATTGGAATTAGAAGACTTTTGAGCACCGAAATTCCCTGGATATAAGTAGGCTTCCTCATCATCCGCACCGATCAGACGCATTTTCTAACAACGGTGCCTGGCTTGCACATGCATAATGACAAAATTGCGCACAGTGCACAAACAGAGTATACTGTAGTTCGGGCCGTACGAGCGACATTTTTGTCTTTCATCTCACCCTTTTTGATTGGCCAATTCTCCACCCGTGGAGCAAGATGTCCACGGCAGATCCCATTCGACTAAAGTACTTCTTTCATGCCTCTCCAGTTTAACCTTTGCACCACGAATCGATCTTCATTTTGAGATAATATTGTACGCAAGGAAACTTGATTTCTGGCGTATACTTTTGTAGAAATCTCTCTTGCGAGGAGCTTCAGTATCGTTTCAAAGCAACCATGTACCAGATTTGCTACCATTCCACCCAGAAACGCAGAGCAATGTATGTATGTGACAGGCATGAATGCCGGAAGAATATCCAATTGATTTTCTGATGAGAAAACAACTTCAAATGCAATGCAAATAATCCCGAAAACGTGAAGAGGCGGCATGAAGGGAATAAATGCCGACCAATCATGTTGCCCACGGTGCAAGACTTCAGCGCAGCTGCGATGTGCACAACGCTTCATGCGATGTCATGGCTCCAATGCGCGCGTGCCAGCAAGACCTGAGACCTAGTCAATCCACCCCATGGACGGAGCAGCATGAGCAGAGCATCGATCACGCATACAACAATTCACTGCTTGGCAGAAAGGCCACAAGGATGCCGACGGAGTCCATGTCTAGCCATGTCTGGCAAGCTCGTTGGGCGGGGATAGGGAAAAGATGGTGTACCTGTGGTCTACTCAAGCAAGTTGCCAATATGAGGCCATCTACAGCAACTGAAGCTTGAATCCCCATGAACGCTTCTAATATGCATTCGATTCTGTCGCAAGATCAGTCTGAGCACGTTCTTCAATGAGATAAATCACTAAGTAGAAGTCATATCTATCTGTTACTTGGGCCTGACATAGAGTAATCTCCTTGCTGGGGACAGGTCGCTTCGTGCAGTCGTCCGGCCAGTCCGCTGCGTACAGATGCTCCTCGGGTACGGCATCCCTGAGCAATTGAAGGGCCGGCACAGCCAACACATTTTGCATCTTTCTGCAGAAGCAAATGTCGCAGTGACACACCCAGCAGCCGAGCTCATACCCAGGAAATCAGCTGCGAAAATTCCAACGCGAAGGGAAGCTCACCATTTCGGACATCTCTGTTGAATTCGTGCAGAAAGCGGCTATCATCTTTGGCGTGCCACCGGAAGAGAAGTGGTGGGTTGCCTCGAAACAGGCCGCTGGAGTGTCGAAGAGCAGATCCTGTTCTCGGAAGACGACATAGCCGCTTCTGTGAATGTAGACTTCAGAATGGAGATCGCCGAAAAACGCAACACTCCCTTGCGGACCACTCCCTGGATTGCAGGAGGAAAATGAGTGAAATATAAGATCCGATGAGACACGCGTTTGCGAAGGCCTTTAAACGCTGATAGCGAGATTCACACGTGTGACAATGACTCGCATCGCTGACAGTATGTAAATTCACAGTACACGCTAGCAATGCAAATACATGAAGCACAAACAACCACTCTATTCATGTGTACCTCGCAATGCACATGACAGCTAATACAGTGGTGCAGCACCAATGAGCACTGCCAGAACCTTCCAAGAACAACGGGAGAACTCTAGTTTGCACAGAGGGAAATCGTCTTGTCATTACTAGTGTCACTGAAAAGTGAACTTGGACGCCACGCTCCGCTTTTGGCGCTCACAGACGTTGAAAACTCCACAGACTCGGCAGGTTGCTGTATGCGGTGCACTGAGCAGCGCTCGGTTGCAATCCCCAGGTTTGCAAACACACAATGGCACACCACACCGTCCTTCCACCCAGGGCAACATGAAACAGCCTCCACATGCATGGCACCATCGGGTTTTGCCTCTGGATTATGGATCTTGCCGATTGCAGGCATGGTTCATGACCCAACTCTGCAAAACAGATTTGCGTTGCATGAGGATGGATAAACGTGTTTCCTCCATAATGATGTGGTCCACGTGGAGTGGCATCCGGCGTTGCCAAGAATCTGCTGGCTCCGCGGCCGGTATGGCTGATCCCATTGTACCCCACGGCGTTCAGGGCAACAAGCGTCGGCCGCATTCCCCTATTCCATTCCTGTAGGCAAGCGATGCGTCGCAGGAGGCCTGTGGCCCAGCAACAGACAGGAACTTCACGCGTGCCATCTCAGCCCAACCTTATGAGATTGGTTCGCTGTTCGTCCAGCTCAACATCACCAACCCAGCCCAAACGACAACACAACACAGGCGGCCCCAACACGCTTGCGCCCCTCAGCGACCCACCTCCCAAGCTCAAGCGCACGTGGTCCCGCTTGAGCTCAACGGGGCTCAGGGTCTTTTCCACGGTGGTGTCGACCACGCTGTAGACGTACGACTCCTTGCTACCGCTCCGGAAGGGCCTGAAGAAGACGGTCCGGTTGGACATGTCGAAGTCGCCATCCGAGCGCACGCTGAAGATGGAGCCGTCCAGCTGGATGCCGCCCCTGTCGTCGCCTGCGGCCTTCGCAAGCACTCCGAAGGGGGGGTCAGCTGATCAGCGGGCGGCTCGGGTGTCCAAGGACGCCCCTTAGATCAGGGGGCGGCGCAGATGCGACGCCCATATGGGGGGCACGGCGCTGCGTTCGTGCGACGATTGCGTCCTTGCCTGCAGGAGGAGGGCCAGCAGGCTCCAGGCCACCAACGACGCTTGCGGCCCCATGGCGCGGCTGCTGCGGCTGGCCTACGCCGCGGTCATCGAAGGTCGTCGCTGGAGGGGCAGCAAAATAGTCACACGGCCCGCTGCCGCTTCCGCTGAGGCCCCGCCCTTCTGCCGCTGACCTTCGCCGAGAGCGTTGCGGTTGAGGTTGACTGTGTCGGGTGGAGGGTCACGGGGTGGCGGGCGGGCGGTATGTCGCACGGGGGGTGGGGTGGGGGTGGGGGGAGAGGCCCTTGGGCCGTCGCCAGAACCTCGTACTGTGAAACCACCGGCGAACTCGAGCCTGAGCGGCGACTCCCTCTCTGATTCCACTGCGATGCTGGTTGGGCAGAGGGGGGGATGTAGGAATAGTGGCGGGCATCCCTTGGTGGGGCATGGCTTACGCGCACGGCGCTCATGACCAAATGGATTCTGAAGTCAGTGACACGCACGGAGGTTCGCGAGGAAGCATGAGAACCCTCGGGTCACATTGGTTGGTATGCCATCTTCCCGCTGTGGCGCAGCTCGGGAAGCCCAGCTGACCCACACGCGTGGAATCGGCCAGCTTGGCAACGAGATGCGCAAAGGGGGCAACCAGAGGATTGGATGCGCCAAAGCACATGTCAACGGCGCTTGGTGTTTAGTCAAGGCTGGCGCAGTGGTGAAGAACAACTGGCATACAAATTCGGATGACATAGCGCGTGATCTTGCAGTGGATGGTCGCACTCGCCAGCAAGCCCCACATTGACGCAGATCGTGCATGCACTTACGTTCGGCGCTGAGAGTGGCAAACATGCGGAGAGCTCACAACGAAATGTTGCTTGCCTGCAAAGCCCTTTACACATAAGTTGTAGCCTACAATTTTGCCTCGCGAAGCTGTCAGGGAGTATTGAAAATGGCGATTCTACAAATGACCAAAGAGATCAACGACATAATGATTGAATTCCAATCCTATTTCTTCCACCTCGTCGCGAGGTGCGTCGTCGTCTGAAGCGCGACGCCGACGGCCAAATCGGGTGACGGCTGACAATGGTAGAGCATTGAAGAGCTGCTGGACTGGCGCCCCCTCCTCATTTTTACTTCGTGCCTCAGCGCCGGACTGTGGCGTACCCGATCCATGGACAAGTCCACTTTCGCAGCACGCCATCACGACTCCCCATGCACAATCTGGCCGCCCGGCATCTCGAAGCACCTGGGCACATTCGGTCATGTCAGTGTGATCCATATCCCCCCAATGGCAGGTAAAAAGATCCCTTCGTCACTCCCATGGGCACACCCGGGGCCAGCAAAGTGGCTCATCTTCCCGGTATTGGCAACTCCAAGCATGTTTGTGTAGCATCATGTGCCCGGTATTGGCAACAAGCGTGTTTGTGTAGTCCGGCCATGGGCTGAGTTCAGTTCCAACAGGCGCACCTGGAGGGCCTCGTGGAGGCAGCCACCATCAATGAGAAGGCCCGTCGCTCGCCACAAGTTGCCTTCCTCCCTTAGGACGTGTTGAGCCCAACGTGCGAGCGCCTGAGCTCGGTCTGAGCCTCTCAACGACACTGATACCAGCGTGGCTGCATATTCCCATAGGCCGGCATCCTGCAGCAGTCCAACTGCCTCTTGTGGCAAACCTGTCACAGCAGCGCATGACCATCACGGCAGCAGGACAACCCAGAAAGCAAAGAGCCGGTACACAACAACAGGAAAACGAACAAAGAAAGGACAAAAAGGACACAAAACGAGCGTTCCGTGCCCGCAACGCAAAGCTGGACTCCATAGTGGCAGACATCATGGGCACTGCTGTGCCAATACCAGCACGTGGCCTACCAGCTGAACATAGCATAGGGACACCCAGAAGAGAATCGCCTGAGGTTGCAGCATGTGCTGACACCACCTTTGCAACCTGCACGTTCAGAGAGCTCTTCTTGGGGGTCGGCTGCCCTTGCTCTGCTGGTGGTTCACCGCCAGCCGGGACTGTGGACAAGGCCAGAGCACACAACGAGTCCCTGTAGTACCTCGTTGATGCTTCAGGAGCGCTGGCAAGCAAGAAGCCAACAGCTGTTGGATAGTCCCCAAGGCACACATACTCCAGCATGCGGTGGTCCTGCAAATGTGGATGGGGATCCAGCATTGAGCGAGGCACTGCTTCATGCCATCTGACCCTTGCAGCGGAGACTGACAGGACCATGGCCTCGTTCCATAGGCGGTCACTATCTGCAACAGGCACACTCAATTAATGCAAGTAACCAGGTGGCAACATCTGCAGATTGTTGGCCACTTCACTGTAGCGTACACGCAGATAGCTCGCACAACACATACCCAAATCAGTCTGATGAGCAAAGTTGTATCAGCCAACACTGTGAAAAAGCAATCACATAATACAGAGCAGCAGTAAGACGTGTGGGGTAGTTGTACCGGTGGTCCTGGCTTCTTCTGCTCCTGTTTCAGCCGTTTCATTCTGCCAGCCAAAGGTGTCTGTAGCCAAGGAGTGCACATGCCTTAGTGTGGGTGTGACATGACGCCAGAATCGTGCTTCTTCGAATTCCCCGGACACCTGCAGCGCATGCACATGGCAACGCAGTGTTGCCTATGGTGTTGGCATTGATCGCCACCAGCAGATCGAAGCCGCATCTCAGGGTTCCTGTGGGATTTCTGCCAAAGCCGAAGACGAGGATGGAGCAAAGGTAAGGAGCACACCGTCACATGGCAAGGGGCTGTCCGACTCGCTCATTCGCTTCCAGAGTTTGCATCACACTTTCGCTGGGCGTTTCGATGAGGGGAATTGTGTGAGATTGCTTGGTGTGCAATAACTCTTTTGCATGCCATAGCAATCACTGTGGCTTCTTTTCATTCCATTGCAGTATTAGGAACTCAATCCCGTTTTTTGCCGTGGGCACAAGCATGTCTTCCTTTCAAAGTGTTCTCCTTCTTGTCTTTCACCTACGCCACTGCTTGTATGTTTTCCATGGGGTGGAGAGTGGACACATCAGCGAGTGGAAAACTAACGTATTGGTGGTGTTAAATGTCCATCATGCTAGGGCCTGCATTGTCTTGTGATGCCAAATGCAACACAAGGAATATGTAGAGCACTGTCTTGCACAAGCTTCTAGCATGCAAGAACGCTATATTCTTGTGTGAGAATTCAGTCCAACGGACACCACTAATTCTACCAAATAGCACAGTATCTACCCTCAATAACTTGAGTTCTAGACATCAATGGGGACAGAGATGCTCTCCCTGCCATAGAAACCCCACTGCTGGCATCACAAACGTGAGGAAGGCCCTCACTGGATGGCGCAGAGCATTTTTTGAGGATACAGAATGTCATTCATTATTTGCTTCACATTGTGCGGCACATCTGTTTCTCGAACACTGGGCAGTTTCAAAATCTTTCCCACACCTCAGCAGCCACAGCCATTCTTGCTGTGGTAGATCCCATTTCCAACGCCCTGTCATATGCAACCCACTCCCTTGGAAACATGAGCTGCCCTTGTGCCCTGAGACTTGCCAGAGCCCGCAGCACATCAGCAAGGGAATTGTGGACAGGCATCATCAGACCCCCCTGGGACCAAACACCCTGGTCAAAACAGAAAACGTGCCACCAATTCAGTTCGTTGCGATCTCACAAAACAACATCTGCTGTTCCCAGATTCAGCTAGATTGCCATGGGCCTTCAGGACGGCTCCTTTTTCTCGCTGCTGAACATTGCCAACAGCACAACATGCCAGCAGTGCAATACATAAGAACCAAGTACTACAGGCACAGCCAGCCCACAAACACCTCTCTCATTGTTTCTGCCTGTGGTGGCCAAACTGCAAAGAGTGAGTGTCGGGGCGCACCTCTTGCGAATTGAAGGTAACCTGCATATCCTCAGGAAGTCGATCTTTCCGAGGTCTGCTGAGCTTGGTCCTCACTTTGGCCATCAGTTTCTTCCTCGTTGAGCTCTCATAAGCGTGGGAAGCAAGAACCTGCATACAACCTGAATCATACCCTGCCTTCTAGTCGATTTTGGTTTCGAGTACATGGCCTTGGGGCAAAGTGGCACGCTGCGCTTGCCAATGCCTCAATAGACTTGTGCTGCACAGAGTATAAGATATGCAACGATTGGGGCACACAACTCAAGGCTTGGGGCACACATCCGTTGGTTCTGTATTGAGCCGCTTTTGTTCCCTGCTTGTCATCACTGACAACAGCAATACAAGATGAAAAAGCATGCAAGAGCAGCAGACCTCTGATGCAAGGCTCATGTGTCTTCGTGAGGTCAAGCTCAGTTCTGCAGGGACGGGTGGAGCTCTGGCTCTCTGCTTCTGCCTTTTCTTCAGTGACTCAATGTGCAGCTTTGGCACAGGAGGCAAACTAGGCTCAGACATCAATGGTGGCATGCCAGCCATTCGGTCAGAGCCTGTGAGGCTGTCCGCACGACTGTGCATATCTTCCCCTGTAGAACTGGTCTCCTCAGCCAAAGAATCCAAACCCTGTATTCACCACAGTACAGAAATTTTGAGCATAGTGGGTCAGCCCCCTCCCCACCCTCATCCCTCAAGCAGTTCACTACACAACGTCCCCACCTATGTGATTTCAATACAATGCCAAGGAAGCACATTGAGCAGGCGTGCAGCATGTGATCAGGACATAGAGTAGCCATAGCCGCACCTCACGCCCTCTGAAATCTCCCCAATCAATCGGCTGAGCTCCCCTTGGGAGTCGAGCCCATACTTCAGCCTCAATCCCCTCATCGTCTGCGTCTGATGCACCAGACGCCATATGCCGCAGCACAGATGATGGAACACCAACCTGAAAGGTCGCTCAATTGATCAGCTAACGAAGAGAAGGGAAATGGGGCAGCCAGCAGGTCAAACGCTAAGCAAAACTGCCAAGCAGCCAGCAGGTCAAAATGTGTCCAACCCAAGCACTAAGACAGAGGCGTCAGCTGCAGTGTGTCCCTGCAGGAGACATTGCCTACCTGGATCATAAGCCGGAGGAGCAGTGACATTGGCCGAGGAAGGAGCAAACTGGAACCAAACGAAGGGTTGCCGCTGAGGCAGTCCGTGTAACTCACAGGGCCGTCAACTGCATCACCGGTCAGCAAATCATCCAAAGCTCCTGATCCCTGAGAGGCAGAGTCAATTTCAAGCACTGCAAGACTGCCTTCCTCTGTGACTGCTGCCAGAAGATTGCTGGAAGACTGGCAACCAGGGCTTGGAAGCCAAGCCATATCCATGAACCGCACTGAACTTTGGAATGGAACCTTAACCAGCTTGTTTCTGCACAAAAAGCCAAGCCAATGTCAACGAATACAGCTGCTAAAGCACTGCCAAAACGAAACGCAACTCAGCATCAAAGTCAAGGTATATGGGAGCACAGGGAACAGCACATTCAAGAAATGAGTGAGGCATCATGCATCACGATTCTGTGCAACTTCTCAAGACTACATTTACAAAGGAATGAACATACCTGCTGTCAATCTCCCAAAAACTACACTGCCAGCTGGAAGACAATAAAACCACATGGCTTTTCCTGCTCCCATCGTTAGTCAGACAATGGGTGACACTTATTCGCCTGATTGCACCCATTTCAGTTGGAGTCGTTGTTGTCTTTCCAGTGGCGATGTCCCACATCATCAGGACACCGCTTGAATCTCCCAGCAAAATTGTTGAGCCCCACCCAGCAGTGGATATGAATACTGCACTGTTGGCACCTGTTGCCATCCCCCATATCGGTTTCCTCAATTTTGAGTCTGTGACCTGAGGTACAAATGCGGATCGCAATCAACAACACCAGGCACACAAGTGAATTGCAAAACCCACACATGTGCCAACCAGGTGCAAAAGAACATGCACATGTCACAACATTGAACATACTGCTCACGATAAGAGACCCCAGGGACGCGCAAAAGGCTACAAGGCAATCAAAACACAACCCAGATGTAGCATGTTAGTGTAGTTCTCCTTGCCAGTGAAAGAGCGTAGGGTGGTTTTGGATGGACATTCTGGAAGCAGGTGATACTAGTGAAAAGGGAGGGTGGAGTGGAGACTGCAAGTCCACCATGTCTCACTGGTATGGGATATCTGTTGAAAGTTCCTGGCAGGATTCTAGTCTTGACCCGCCAGGATGATGGCCACCTGAGCCACAGATTCCTTGTTTCATTACCTTCACTTTCCATTCATGCTGCTGGCCTCCAGTGACCATTGTTACAGCATCTACTGCGCTGAAACCAATATTCATAGTGACATAGCGTTGGCAGAATTCACAACTGCAATTAAATTGGCCAAAAAGAATGAAAAAGCAAGTTGTCCTTCACCTAGCTGTCACATGCTTCCATTTTGACACAAGGCAGATTTATGGTCTTGTGGATCTGATAAATTTCAGCTGACTGCAAGTGTCCTTGTGTGAATCTGCCAATCAATGCATATACGCCAAACTAATGACAGTGTCCATTGCAAACATTTAAAAATCAACGACAGTCCGACCTGGGTTTTCGATTCGAAGCAATATGGGCAGTTCTGCCTTCAACGTATGCCTACAACAGTCAGCCTGGATGTCCTGCTGTGTAGAAACAACAAAGCAGAAGCAGAAGCAGTTGCCAAAGCCAGGGAGAAGACTAAAGCCCACCTGTCTTCCTCTGATGGTGACAGTTCCCACTCGGCCATCACCCAAGGCGAATACGATTGTCTCTTCTGGAGGATCAGCAGAGGAAACCCCGCCCTCCCATGCCTCGCTATAGAGACATTGAATGCTCAGTTAGAGCTGCAGCTCAACCACAACTACAAACGAGGATCATGCAACAGTGAAATCGAAAAGCACAAACCACTGAAACGAAGGATTTATCATGATACCAAAACTGCTGCCAACATCAAACATCCCTTGACAAAGGAGAAGGCGGTGAATCATTATATTCTGATAAATGCAGCCACGTGATGTCAACAGCAAAGTGCTGTTGACAGTGGAATGCAGCATACCCAGTGTCATGTACTTCAGAAGTATATGATTGGCACCCAACACACATATAGCATCACAGCCTTGCCTCACCCGGATTCGCAGCCCCACATCTCCCAGGCAGCCACAGGCAGTGTCTCGCCTGTGTCCGCAGTGGGCTGAAACCACTCAACTGCAGTGAATGGCAAGTCCAGTTGGCGTACACGTCGTACGCATGTCAAACCAGATACCTGTCCACGGCAATCAACGGCTTCATTAACGGTTTCAAATACGCACAAGAACTTTGCATCCAAGAAACAGAATCACAATTTCCCAAATGATTCATAACATTTGTCCTTTGCATTTGTTGGGAACATCGACGAGGTCAGGCCATGGCATCCCCATTCTGTTTCCTTATCCATGCAAAATGATGCTACAAATTGCCAGCACCTGGGAGGGTTGGGTGTTCAGAATCAATCAGCTGTGTTGTATGTGTTTCTCGTTCATTTTGGGTCTGAAAGGAAACACTGTAGGCACAGCCCATTCAGATGACGACAACAACTGAACGTGGGGTCCTGGTTCTCAGGGCAGCCCCTTGGCAACTATGTTTTGCAGGTAGAAAGAATCACCAGCGCTTCTGATTCCTTCATAAGCAATGGTCAATAACACCAACACAAGGTACTGTGCCTTCTGTTAGCTTTGGGTTCTTTCTGTTTCTTGATCGTCTTTTTGCAGAAGTGTGTACACTTTCATGAAGACAGGTCTCAAGTCACAGGCCCACAATGCACAGCAGCTGAGAATGATTTTATCCATGAACTGGGATACTCACCATCCAAATCTCTGCTGGTGCATTCTTTAACAGGACAAGAATGTACTTCCCAGAAGGGGAGGTCCTGATTCCAAGCATGCTCGAGTTCTCAGACCCTAACTCTCGAAAAGGCGTAGTTTGCCCAGTGCGAATGTCTGTGATTACAAGACTATTCTTCCATCCATGCTCGCTCTTTTCACTGCAGAAGGATACCACAAGGGGCGTAGACCCAAGCCACCGCACACTTCTTGCTCGCTCATCATGAACAGAAATGGACCTGGACACTTCTAGCGATAGTGGTGTGAGTGTTCCCCTGTGGCAGTGCACCACTTCCAAAGTGCCTGATGATGTAACCACCCCGATGACTGGCCTCAGGATTTTGCCAGGAAGAGAAGACTCAAGTGGAAGTGCCAAAGTCTTGATTCCTTCCGATGTTGCAGATTCAGATGCAGGCGATGGCTTCACTCCCTCCAGGGAGGACCCATCTGCATCCACAGGATCATTTCCACTGGAAACTTGGTTTTGTGTCTGACTGTCTTCAGTTTTGTGGACATCGCCTGAAATGCCTGAATTTTGAGTGCCTGGACTTGGCATGTATTCTCCACTTTGCTGCCCACTTTGTTGTCCATCCAAACCTTCATCCGCCTCCACAAGCAGCTTTGGAAGAACAGTCAGTGTGGTTATAGCACTTGGCAATACGTGCAGAATGCCTTTCAGGCTCACTGAAACTGTAGGACGCCCAGCCTTGGAATCTCCCAATGTTGTTGGCATGGCACCTGGCTGCGGCGATTCCCCTACTCGTGAAGATTCTGTTAAAATTGATGCTGATTCTGTTGTCTCAGAAACCCCTTGCACTTCAGTATCCAAGGTGGACACTTTGTCTACATTCTGTGCTTGTGGTTCTGACCCACAATCTTCTGGATCAGGGTGGGAGCGGACTGGAGTCCCTGTGCGGCTTTTAGACCTTCTGCTGCCGGCAGCCCCATCTTGATAGGTGTGTTCCTGTGTGGCAGACAATGGCATACGGATGTCCCACTGCCACACTTGGCCAGAGCTTGTCACTGCCATCACCAACAGAGATGAAACCTGTCTGCTTGACTTGTGCCCCTCCATATTGGATGCATTGTCCACCCTGCCATCCCCCTCTGCATTGTTAGGAAGGCCTGGTGTCCATGATGCAGCAGCCATCGTCAATACTTCCACCTGTGCTGTGGAGCTGCCCAACACCCTGGTGTTCAGCACACGCAAACACAGAACACAGCGTTGCCACACATGCAGAAACGATGTGCATCTATGATGCTGCTGAACTGAGCTTGCAGTTGCACAATGGAACGTTTGTTCTGTCTGGCTTTGCCCAACACTATAATGACAACTGAGCGCCACACAGCACAGCAAAGCTCACAAATGGAACAACCCCACACCTAGGATGACATCCTTGTTCCAAACAAGATTATGCACATAGAAGGCATTGGAGGTGTGCCCAAACTCAAGTTGACACTTTTACACTGAAACATTAGTTGCTGCATCCTCTGCATCCTGGTGTCACCTCAGTGGCATTGGTGTCAGTCGAACAGATGGTAGCAGTGAGTACTTCAGGGAATCCGATGACTGCACCCATACGCTCAGGCTGAAGTCCTGTAACAGGGCACACATGCCCAGGTTGCAATCCAGTGTAGATCGATGAAAAATCATGATGGGAGAAATCACAGCATGTGGTTGCAGCATGGATGGATACCTTGATCCTGAAGAAGTCATTTCAGGTACACAACGTTCTTTACCTTCTCTGTTTCAGGTGTTGTTGTTCATTCTGGCATGCACACAAGTACCAGGGTCTCCGCGTTGGAAGAGTCAAAATTCAAGCCTGGATGCCAAATGAGTAGGACCATATGCAATCAGTTCAGACCACCAGCCCTGTCACATACTTCATGGAGGCAGTGGATTGTCTGCATTCCTCCTGGAACACCCCCTCCACGCTGTATACCCTCGCCGTTGATGGCCAATATCCTCTGAAATTTTCTCCTCGATGCTGGGAGGGCTATTGTAGAAACTGGATGGGCAAACTCCAGATCGAAGAAGAGCAGCTCTCGAGCAAGCATCACCACAAGTACATCGCGCTGTGCAGGAAACGCACAGTGAACACTGCCAGACGATTGCGCCCCATCTGCAAAGACATTAGAGCACCACTTTGGCCAGAAGGCAAAGATCATTGGGAAAAAGAGCATGGCAAACAAGTTGTTCCTTACACAGTAAGCTGTCAAAGCTGCACCAACAGAAAAGCACTCAAGTTGAAGATGAAGGAAAACAAGCAGAACTGGGCAGCAAAAATTGCCATGATCACGACAAATGCAATGCCCCATTTCCTGGCGAGATGTGACTGAAACAATCGAACGTGTGCGGACCATCACCGCTACTTCCAGTTGCCAATTCAGGAGGCACAAATATACAAATAGCAGCCTTCCAAGATCGCAGTTCCACATCATAGCCATTCTGGGAAGCTGCCTGGTTCAAGTGTGGATTTGTGTGCTTTTCCCCAAACCACACAATTCAGCACCACAAACTGGAGTTTTAGGAAAACCAGCAGCCGATGGACACTTGTGGCACATCCCACCTGAGCTGCTCACTCTGTACTGCTTAGTTTGCACCTTGTCCTTGGGAAACCCTCCCAGGTCCATTATTATGCACTGGCCTCCCTCTCCACTCAAGCACACCCTCCTGCGATCCATTGGATCGACAGAGATGCTGTGCAAGCTGCCATGGCCGCGCTCCTCATGTCGCCACACGATCTGCCCACCTGTTCGATCCACACTCGTCAAGTCCGCGAATGTGAATGTGCATGCATCCCTAAACGAATGCCAACTAACATAAATGCATACATGCCTCCTAATGTGGAACCACGATGGGAAATCGTCACACATTGCATCACCCACCAGTCAACTTAATTGTCCATATCTCAAGGGCATAAGGCCTTGTCCTGTAATTCCATGTTGTTATGTCCGTCGACCATCTACACTGTGTTCGTCAGAAGGCGAGGTTAACATGTGAGACGATCTGGGGGTTTGGATAACTAGAGTCTGAGAAGGGCATCAAATCACCTTTCGTGTCCCAAAGCAGCAGACTTGCAGATGCCAGTAGCACAGCCAGGAGACATGGAGGACTCATAACCCATGCCACATCCTGCACACCAGCACCCCCTTGCTCTCCTGCCCCGCCCCTTGGGTCCTCCAATTTGGCCAGGACAGACACCCTCGTGACATCCCAGACCACCACACTGCCCTCTTTATCCCCTGAAGCAAGCCTGCAAAAACGGTCGACTCAGCGATCCCTGGAGTGGCTCAGCAACTTCAGATGGGTGACTGAAATGCACAAGATACATGTGTTCACAAGAGTGGAATGTGTTCCAACTCTTAAGGATGTTGTTTGGCACGCGCCACAAGCAACTTGCAAACCCGAACATTCTGGACCAGTGAAGACTGGATTCTCTAGAAGAGACTGCAAATATCAAAAAGAATTCACCACTGGAAGCTCCATTTTGTTGTTTTGCGTGTTTTGTTGTGTTGCTTGAATCTGCAACAGAGCAGCTCAATTCCTGTATTTAATGTACACAAAGCCCATGCTCAACTACTCAACTGCCCTCCAAAGCCTGATAGGAGAGTCCCTAAATGGCAAGGGTACCCACATGGCCAGGAATGCATCCAGTCAGGAGTGTGAAATTTTTCTTTGGACAACTGCCAAGCCCCTCTACAACTAGGACCTGCAAAACAATCTTTGAATTTGCAAATGTGCTTTTCTCACCCTTCAGTTTGACAATCTGCAGCGATTACTCACACACTTTTATCATCAGTGCAGATTTCAACTATTTGCAATAGGTGAAGACCAAACCAGAATGTGCACACAGAATCTAGAGCAAGAACGTCACAGAACCTCACAGTAAGTAGCAACCAGCAACACAATCCTGAGAACTCAACCCCTGCAACCCTAGCCTACCTTCACCACTGAGCACTAGGAGAGACACACCAATTTTCGCAATAGCCATTAGATTCATACCTGACATGTCCGCCGCCTTTCAGATCTCGTGAATGGCATTCTGGGCTCCTGACAAAGGCATGACACGATCAGCTGGCAACCAGCCACCGAAACCACAGCTCACAACTGCTTCAAGGGCTTGCATTCTTGACCCTCCATGAGCATTTCATAAGCAGCATGATGGTGAGACATGACAAAAGCACACTGCGCCAGGTATGATAACTGGTCCCCGGCATTTTGAGTGCAACTCACCAGCTGACAGTCGTTACAGATGCCCGACTGTGAGCCCCATGTAGCATACATACCAACTGCAATTGGAAAACCTGTCCAGTTGAGAAGAAGAGGACAAACACGTCAATTTGGGACAAGCATGCCACTGATCAACTCGATGACAACACAGTTCACAACTCAGCAGCGATCTCTTTGCAGAACATCTTGCTACGATGCTGGAAAGCAGCTGTACATTGCAGTGGGCAGCCAATCCAAAACAGACAACAACCTCCATGGTGCAAGAAGACCATGATGAGTTGTCAAAAGCATTTGGCATGAGCAGCTGCATCTCAGGGGGAGTTGAGGAACCTATGTGGGCGGAGATTGATATCCCTTTCACGCCTGCCAAGGCTCACAAATCATGGACCCAGCGCACGACGACACATTCAGCATCAGGATCGGCAGCCAAATGAGACGTTTCTCCCCCATCTTGCTGCCATTTTGACCACGGAATCCCGTTCTAAGTGGAACTGGGCAACTGTGTACAGCCATGGATACGTGGAGGTGTTCTGAACGCCGTTCCAATTCTATCATGAGGATTCAGCACGCGGAAAACACCGCAATGACCCGCCTGAGATGAAGGAAGCCACACTAATCCATGGTTGACAACCAGTAAAACACTGAAAAGCACCCATACTGATCATTTTTACGCTTTTGTGCAGATGGAGGACAGCAACATGTTTGTTCGCCCACCAGGTCGTCAGCTGACAGGACGAACACAATCGAACGCCCCGCAACTGACAGCGAAAGCAATACAGCAGTCTAAATTGGCAAGAAAGCTGAGCGATGCGCAGCATTCTTGTGATCATCTGCTGGATGCGCAATCCAGCAATCCCCGAGTAGAACCACTGAGAACCGGCGCGGAGTTGCTGAATTCCACGCAGCCGATCAGCTTTGACGCTTCCCAAACGACGCTGCTCGAAGCATCGCAGGGTGCTGCAGCGTGCAGGATGGGCGCCATGTCCGCGTACATCTTTTTCACGGCTGCAGATCCTTGAAAACGGCACTTACGTCGATTATTGCGACGCTAGAGGCCACTCCGTATGCGAGCAGCTGGCCCTCCAATATGTCCGACGCACCCGCGTTTGCGGGCAGGCACGGTCCGGGCAGGAGACCCGCAACGCGCCCAGAGACCATCCCCCCATCCGACGGGCCTGGCACCGAACACCTGGGCGCCCAATGCACCCCTGTTGTCAGTGGGCACTGCGCGCCACTGTGGGTGCGCGTTGATTGAGGGCAATGATGGTGTCGGTGCGATTACATTTGCAGCACATGTGCTGCTCATGTACATGACACAGAGAACAGCTCGCACCAAATCGCCGTGCTTGGCTTTGTCCCCGTCCAGCCATTTGGGGTGAGACCGAATTGTCTGCCCGGCACCTCGCCGTGCTCAAACTGCGCGCACAGGCAATTGTGTGCCGTCCAGAAAACTGGGCGCCACGTGAACTGGGCACGCCATGGCTGGGGCCGGGTTTGAGAACAGTGTCAGCTGGCAAGGCCAACCAGAGCCTCATTACTGCTCTCCATCAACAAATTTTGTTCATCGTATGCTGCAGACGAAATTTCGGGCAGGCGATGCCATCATGAAACGTTACTATCTTGGATCCATGTCTTCATCATGGGCTGTGTTACCTTCTGGTACGCCAGCTCCTGAGCTCCATTTCTCACAGATCGCTGACACACAACGGAGAGGCGTTTTCCCAGACAGTACAATACGATGCCATATTTGCGGGGAAATATGATGCTCACAACACAGCTATTTCGGGATAACCCTGCAGGTGCCAGGCTCATTTGCACCTTGCGTAGTGGCAAGTACTAAATATCAACAATTGGCTTGGCAAGGGGCAAATTTACTCCTGGTCGCACTGCAACTACCCCTTCCAGCTATTCTGGCATGTGGGCACGCAAAACAGCCGTCGAGCCTCATTTTGTGGCTGGCAGCAGGACACAGCGTATGAGCGAAAAGGTGGGTGATTGGAAAGCGCATTTGGACGATCATGGACTTTATGACTTGTACATTCGGAAACCACCTCTGCTAGTGCAACGCAGTGTTTCGTGCATCGCATGTTAGCGCTCTGCTGGAGCTTGAGTGGATTGGGGCTATTCTCATTGTCTCAAGACATCAATTATTTGCTCCGGCTGAAGTGCGACTGTACGCGGAGGTTACCACTCTTGACGCCAAATTGACGCTAAAAATTTGTGCAACTGCCACGTGGCATGTGCGCATTATCGCTGCAAGCTAAGAATTGGATTACTGGGGTTCGTCCAGCCATCAGATAAATAGCGCGTCTGACTTAACAGGGCGGTGCAGAAATATTTGAACAGCAATTGCTCAGAGAAATGCGGGTAGGGATCCCTCCATGCGCAGAACTTCAAAGAAACACAACAGCCCAACCAAGTGCCCACAATTGTTGGGCCAACAGAAACAGCATAAAGATGATTTCTGTGGGATTCAGAGTGAATCTGTTGTCAAACAGCATGCGCCACAAGCAGTACGTCGGGATCAATGTTCCGACAACTAGCCACGGCACCAAGGAAGGAAGGAGAGAGGGAGAGAGACAATATGGCCAACACTCCCACAACAACATGCAATTAGCAATGTCCTTGCCCAGTAGGCAATGCCCTTCCATCCAGCACATTATCATCGCAACACAATGAGCGCATGTTTCACAATTACATTACAATGAGGTCAACGACCCTTCGCCCTACGACCAAAACATCATCTCAATAAAAGCGGCTTTGTTGAGCCACAGAAAACAGTATTCCATCTGTGCAAAGTTCGCACCGCAAATATCCACATTCTTATGTATAAGTACAATTGACTGCAATACGAATCAAGAAGAATCATCCACGAAATCCATGAATTCATCGTTGGGGCCTTTGATCACTGTCTCGCCTTTGCCCATGTCCCTCGAAACTTGTGACTCATTTTCGCTGTTCTGTATTGTTTCCCGTCGAGGCACATCCCTTCCATCAACTCCATCCACGAACCCCGCATGGACCGGACTTCGTCGGTCCCAATTCGCGACCTTCAGGATCCAGGGGTTTCACACTATGGCAAAGTAAAGAATCATCCGGCAATTGCTTGTGCATCTCAAGATGTCGCGCAGCCGTGTGCCAGGTTTCAAGCTTGGCACATGGCACACGCCTGCGTGGCAGTTCTTCAGTGCTCCAGGAATTTTCCGGCTGGTCTTAGCCTAGCACCAAGGGCGCATCTGGCAAGCCCTGGTCTCCCAAAGTGTTGGGGAAGATTCCTTAATTGTGCCTTCATCCACAGGGTGTCGGGCCCCCTCCAACTGCTCCCGCTAGCCTTGCCGCCTCCTCAAGCAGCGGCACTCCTGGGTTCGCGGCTTAAGCGGGAGCCCCATGCCTTCTCAAGCCTGCAACACAAGGACGACAGTACATCCATGCGCGCACTTTCGCACCGTGGGACTCACTCCCTCTGCGTACATTGTGACAATATACAAGTGATCCCAAACGTCGCAACAGTTTGTCTCACTCTTGTTCTACGTGGACCCTCAAGACCCCACAGCAATGGCGTCCACCACAAAGGTTTAGAAAGTCTTGTGCAGTATTCAATAATCCGCTTGTATACGCCTGTACAGCACCAGTGGCGCCAAATAGGTTGAACCAGCCACTTGGCCGCAAACACGTACTACCTCTGTCTCAAATGTATTGTGTATTCTGTCCGAGCACCTTAAGGGTGAGCACAAACTACAAATTTCTCACTCTGTAATAATGGAATTTCACAAACTACGGGGAATTGAGGCCTTGACGGAAATGGACAGCGATGCTTTTGACAGGGTTGCGAATGCGTTGCTGTATGGCGACGACGAATGTAAACGAGATGCACGCCAACCCAAAATCGACCAAGGAATCCGAATCTGGTGACGAGTTGACTATTTGAGTTGATACTGCAATGTTATAGCAAGACTAGAAAAGCGACAATACTTTGAAACGGAAGTGGTATTTCCTTCCCTGCTCTGCCCCTGTATAAACCGAGCTGTGGTGTCCCAACAGCTCTCATACCTAAACCGGAACGGGCAGGAGCATTCAGCAGGATAGTGCCTTTCTGTTCGCGAACACGGCTGTAGTGCAAAGATCTGGCCCACAGTTCTATCGCTTTTGAAGGACCACACTATGTTGACTTTCTTTTGGTGCCAAGTTTGAGCTGAGGGGGAGGGAGTCAGATATTATCCACCAACCCATTTGCAGTCTTGTGGGCTTATAGGCTTTTGGAAACCATCCAGCAGTTTGAGTAACTTTCCAGTACTTTGCCTGAAACACATCCAATGTCTTCGGCAATTTCTCAAGCCCAACGGTAACGATTCTATTGTAGGTCCTTCTCAAAATACATCCTGTATTTCGCCACTCACTAAGGCTCAGAAACTGCAACTGCTGTGTGTGCCTCACTTCTCCATTGTTTCGAGTCTGGCGGCTGTAATGTGCCTTTTCTGGGTAATCTGCTGACAGAAGTTGAGAATGGGGCTGTGAACTGGACCGAGTACACTTTCCTGGAATAAGAACAAAAGCGTCCTGCCTTTTTGGCCGATCAATTACGAATCCTGATAATGTAATTTTCTTGCTTTTGTGCAACACTGAGTGCCTGTTCATGTCAAACATGACTGGTCTGTTGTGCTTTGTCACCCTGCCAGTTACCACTCGCATATGCGCTGCTTTGGTGACAGCCCTCGCTCCGCTGATTTAGGTACCCAATCTAATGTTCATGTCAACGTCACCAATTGATCCCATTAACAACAATGTACAACACATTCTGCGCTTGACGAATGCAATCATAAAGAGCTTGAAAACACTCTTGTTATTACTGCGGGGATGCGGCCAGTGGACGCTGTGTCCCATTAGCCTAGAAAGGTTTGAGGTCCTTTTCAATGCAGCTGACAAGGTGATTCTGCGCTGCAGTTTTGTGGACCTGACTTGTTGCTTGTAATATACAAATACAGGTGAGGTCGCTGAGAGTCTTGCAGAGTGCCTGAAATAGGCTTGCTGCTGGAGATGGGTCTGATTGCAACGGCTTTGCTGGCCCCGCACAAAACGTAAAGCCTCAGCTCACCGAATCTGTAGTGCTGCTCAGTTGCAATGTTGGTTCTACAGAGAATTTGAATTCAACAGTTGGGTGCTTTCCAAAGTAAACGAATCAATGCACACGAAACCAATCAAGCTGCCTACAAATCACAATCATGAACAATTGGGACCCAAAGCGGCATATATGGGCATATCCCCATACATAAAAGCAGCAATGAGGTCTCAAAAGACTGCAAGCCCCCTACCCTACAAAAGAATGCTGCTCCTACGAACACAAGGTGGAAGCCACACAGCAATCCATGGCTCTCTTGTGGCTTCTGAAGACTCAGGTGGCCATGTTCTTCTAATCACCCAAGCCATGCAGGGGATCCCAAAACTGCCGACCACGACTACTCCGTATCATTTTGCACAGCATCCATGTCCTCGTGTTGTCTCTGGCTGGCTGGTATGGTTTGAGTCCAGCTGGAAGCTTCAAAATCAACACTGAGAACATCTTTGCGGCTCACAGTCCAGATAGCCCATCCAGGAAGGCCCTTTGGGTTTACCTACCAGAAGCATGCAGGTGGAGATGATGCCATGCCTGCCACACCTATGGGCTCAAGTCTATTTCTATCACATTCCCCCCACGGGTTTCATGGTCTGCATCGAAGCACAGTGCTATCAGCATAGGGGTAGCAGGGTTGTCTTGGGTTGGTCTGCATTCTATCTCAACGAATACTGCTCTTGGCACAAAGCGCCAGGAACTCAAAGCTGCCAATGGCACGTGTGCAGTGGCATGAACTTTTTTTTGGAACAATCTCCATCAATTTGATGATGTGGAAGCACTACCTGCAGCCCGCCTAGTACATAGTATGCACGAAATGAGACTGGTTTTCAGGTTCTGAATGCCTGTTGGCAGCTGGCGGCAACAGGGTTGAATTCAACAATGTTTGTCCCTTCATTGTGCAACTTAGCCAGAGCCAGATGGATGCATATACAATGTCTGACAGTATGCTCAACAAAGCCACTGCATGCCATGGCACAGTACAACTTCCACGATTTGCCCAATGCACAATGGCAGGGAAAAGAACAGCAACAATGGTGGGATGTACGAAGTCATCACAGTGTGCACCAACCTGAGGCATCACAGTATCCCTGTGGCTTAACCTCAGGCTGCAGCACGTCCTCATCGTCAGAATCGAAGAAAACACAGGCCCTGCTCCGACGAGTCCTGGTAGCTGGCTCCATCTCAGCACTGTCGGTTTCTGTCGATACAAGGCTTTCCATATCGTCATCCCCACAGCCTGGGTCTTCAAGTGCGGATTGGTCCTGACCCTGAACCAGTTGGGCTGCATCTGGGGCAACATGGTCTTGACAATTCAAGCGTGGCCTCTTGAACAGTTTGAGAGATGGTTTTCTGCAGCTTGCCCCCTGATGCCCTTGGCTCGTTCGCTGTTGCACTAACACCCCAGAGGGGTCAGGGCTTGGCATTGAAGGGACATTGGACGATGTGCCTGCACCAGGATTTGCAGACTGGCAGCCTCTCATAGTGCCTGGGGCATGGCCCTCGGCAGGAGTGCTCCAATCCCTCATTGTGGTCTCTGCGCACAGCATGGGCATCCTGGGAGCTGGTGGTGGCATTGAAGCAGGCCACTGGTGTGGTGTGCTGTACCCATCATGGGCTCCATCCCTCTTGTCTGCTTCCTCTGCAGAGGCAGATACAGAAGCTGTGGAGAACATCGGAGTTGTGTTCCTGCTTCTCAGTGTCGATGCAGCCACAAACGATGGACCCAGATCCTCACACCGGGAATGGTGGCAAGGCACAGCAGCACCACGGCCGCATGCTGCTGTCCCAGAGTTGATCGCAGAAGTACCACAGCCTTGTTGGAGCTTGTCTTCAATACAATTCCCAAACTGTGCAGATGAGACCTCTCCTTGCACATGGCGCCCATGCTGTGGTTCAGAGAACGGGGTCGCCCACCCTGTTGCGCTTGGAGGGCATTGAACAGACTCAAGCCCGTCAGACCTGCCACAGTCCATGCTGTAGCTTCCCTGGGCCCCGGCTCCACGTTGATTGGCATTGACTGGGCTGTGGGCACAAGTTGTTGACTGGGACATTCCATTCCCTAGAGCCATTGAGCTGCACACATTGCCTGGTGCTTCATGTGCAGCCACAGGTTGTCGGTGCTGATCGTTAGGTGTTGGGCCTGATATTGTCCAAGGGGTACTTGGAGTGCCCTGGGTTTGCTGAGTCTGTTCCTCCCATGCCCATGCTTCTTGTCGTGCTTCCTTGTAGAGGTCCAGGCGTTCCTGGACACCCTTTTTTCGTCTGCTCCCTGACGAAACAAAATAGCATCACCATTTTGCAACAAATCACTGCACTGCTGACTGGTATCTTGCTACTTACTGTCTGGGAATGGACATGCTGACTGCCATCCATCCTGTGTACCATCTTATATTCATATTCTCCCACTCAAGGCCTTACATTAAGCTTGTTCGCGATAGTTTTGATGATCAGATACAGATGTTCACCAGCGGCAGGAAGCATCATTTAATAGCCCAGCCTGGCTTGTTGTCCAAAACTGGCTCATGCTGGCCCTGCATCCTGAAACTTATATCCAAATGTCTGTTATGCAATGGGCACAGATTTAGGCCTGTGCGGTCAATCTGGGCTGGTGTTGGACAGCAGAAGCGCAGGCTTGAATATCAAATGCCAAAAATTTAGAAAGTAGCCACTGTTGGACCTCTCAACAGCTTTGATGTTGATAAGTTGCTGTGGTAGGTGGAGTTTCCAGTTGGAAATCATCGATGGCACGACCATAGGAACAGACAATACAATGCAACAGTGGGCTGCTACACATCTGGCGTTCTCGAACGGGTACAAGTCACAAGGCATTGCATGCAGTGTGTCCAGATTACCATCCAAGTTGTTGGGGTTTACCTGGAGGTGTGGACCATTTGCCAACAGTAGCCTGTTGGGCATGCGCAAGTCGGTCAACCTGAACGAACACAGAGTGGCTTCACACATCATGTTGCAACATCACCTGCAAGAGGCCCCAGCCACACAACCAAAACTCATTTATGTTGGGAAGAGCGATCCAAGGTCCCGGAAATAGCCCACCTTTCCTCCCAAGACCTCGATGTTCTGTGGACAAATGAGCAACACTCCCCGGTGAACGTACACATCTGTCACAGCTATTTTGGTTCCAGCTGGCATCCCCGTTTTGAGAGCAGGTATGTGTCGATACTCTAACCCAGTAGCACGTTGACAACCTGCACAATAGATGACACATACAACACCATCACACACTGCAGCCAAATGCCAGCTGACAAACTATCGCTGTGAGCATCACCAATTGCAGTGGTCACAATGGTCAAGTTCTCAGGAACAGCAGGAACCCCTTATCAACATGACTAAACACAAATTTAAGTAGCAAAATTCAGCTTCAAGTACAAGTGACAACTGACAACCATAAAATTCTCTTCCACTGTCTATGATTGTGTGCCACTGATTTCCGTATTAAGGGCTGGTCGATAGGATCATATGTGGTTTCTGGATGTATGTTCTTCGTCTCTTCACAATTCTTTGTGTTATCATCGATTTACAAGTTCAGTGACTGACTGCCCTATCAGTGTTGGGAAGGTTCTATGTGGACCCTGCACATCAGCTGCTTTGAATTTTTGAGTTGCCACAGCTTTTTGCTGATGCCTTGGCCACCTCAATATTTGGCACCTATGAGACTGCGCGATGCAGATCTGCACAATCTGCCAACACCTACCATCCGTCAGGCTCATCTTCAAACAGCGATCAGCAGATCGCTCTTCGTACCTGGACAATTCAAGGGAGAGGCTTAGGCCATTCCTGTGCCACCTCCAACAGCAACAGGCGATTCAAGAAAGCTTTAGTGCAAGGAGATAGCTGGGCATTGTTTCAATCTGCCCGCTGACCAATTCCATGACAGGGACACCGGCGTTCAAGATACACCTCTTCCATCATCAAACCTTTCTTTAGCACTTGCCGCAACGTTCACGGCCTCGTCCATCTGCACAACATGTCGACCTTGCAGAATGGCCATGTGCATATCCTGTCCGCAAAGAGCAGCGGACAGCAGTCAGTTCGTTTCAAGCGGCTAGACCTTCCCCACGTGCTCCACCGCCAACATTGTCTCAACAGCGTGGCCAACACGCTTGACAAACGTAGTCAACGGGCTTCCGGACAGCTTCACCCCGGGGGTCCGTTTCGCGACTGCAGTGTGCCCCTTAGGATCCCTGCCTCTGTGCCTCGCTCTAGCTCCGTCGATCCAATGAATACAAACGACAAAATGATGGCAAAAAGCACTGGCCTCGCATCGTGATTACGGAGCTAGGAACTCAATCCAGCTGTATTGGGGACAGTGACTACATGCACTCGGTAGATGCAAGCGGAGAGGACCAACCTGCAGCCCAGCTGGGAGGCCACCCGACCCAACGACGTTCATGTCGCTGCACAAGAACGCCGCGAACAGGTGCCGGAGCTTGGCCTCATCCGTCGCGCACTGGATGGATCGAGACTCTGCCAGGCGCTGCAGCACGCGGCTGCACCATTCGGACTTCACGCACACGTTCAGACGCTGCCGCAGCTCGTCACTGAAGTTCATGTGGCGTGGAAGCTTTGGGGCGCAGGGCCGAGCGCAACCACCGGCCCGGGCAGTCGGGGGGGGGGTGGCCGAAGAAGGCGGGACGACAGAAATAGGGATGGGGTCATTTCGTTCTGCTTATCTTGCTTTTAGGACCTTTTTCTGCTGATGTTCTTCGTTGCAACCGTATCATAACATCCATCCACGTATCCTTTCACGGGTTGCAAAGCGGAATGGAAAAGCAAATTGTGTAGTCACGCATCATGGAGGCGTTGATTGCCGAGAGCGAATGCAGAGTGACCAAAATATCCCCGCGCTTCGAATCACAGAGAGCTTGATTCAAGATTTGTTTCCAACAAGTGAATTTGATCTCTCAAATTCGACGCCTCAATTCGCAGCGCGGAGTACGGGTGCGGGTGCCTGTGCAAACGCGGGAAAGTATTTGGGGTTGTGTATGGCAGAAACCGCCAGAATTGCTGACAGTGCTTCAGCATACACCCAATTCACTTGCTCCCCGTTCTCCCACGTTGGCTGGACTGTTTGGGTACATCCCTTCTCCACGGACAGGTAATTTTGCCTTTGCATGCACGTCTCGTACTGTCTGGGAACTGCTGTTACAGCTGGCTCCGACTGCCACGCTACCCCATATTGAATATTCTTCGACATATGCGAGCTTGCCATCATGCAATATGCAGCACGGGAATCTGCATGGGAAACTGTGTGCGTGCTGCTCGCAGCCTACATGGCTGCCAGGTCCAGCGTAGGTCGGCTGCACCAACCCACGGCGAAACGGACGTGGACAACATTGTGACCTCCTGCATGCGGCGTCGAAACGCGAGGCAGATGGTGGAGCTGCGGAATTGCTCACCGACAATTGCCAGCCTGCAATTGGTGGCCAGTACTTTGTCCCTGGGGTGTAGTATTGTCGACGCTTGCGCACAAGCACGGCATCAGGATGCAGGGAGCCCAGCTTCAGGATCATGCCCAGAGCAACACAATCCAATGTACCCGAGAGAACATTTGGCAGCTGTAGTGAAGCTGCTAGGAAGTCTATGCTCCAGTTGTGCACTGGCACGAAACTGTGCACTCAGACCAGCAGCAACCAAGCAGGAGCACTCGGAATCTCCTGAACACAGCTTGCAATGCATGGTAACCCACTGCCATGGGGAAAGGGAGAACTGTACCTTCATGATAACATGGGTGTTCCTGGCTTCGTGGTACAACTGCTGTCGTTGAGGTGCTGTGCATAGTGTTGCCTGGCAGTGGTTCCTATGCGAGTGTCCCAGCCACAACCTGCTCGAATCGATCCACCACCCAGACAAGCATCCAGTCCAAGCAAGATTCTTGCAAAAGCAAAACAAGGGCAGAGCTCTTGGGCATGCAGGATTTTTCGTGCACAAGGTCAACACCCTACTGGACGCTGTGGTGATAACGCCCTACTTGCAAATTAATGTTCAACTCAACAGTAATGTTCCCATTTCGGGGTGCTGCACGAAGAGGAGAGAGAGCGAGGAAATATCAAGCGAACACAGTGCACCACAGCACTCCGAATTTCAGCCCTCGAACTACAAGGAGCGCCTATTTCTCTGAACGCCTCTCCAGGAATCCTAGGTGTACATGAGTGCGAACCATGCCTTGCACCTGGCCCACATCGTCCAATATCAAGTAGTTGAGTCAACATGTCAAACACCAATACTGTCCACTCTGACATGCTGTCTGCTGAACCAAACCTTAGAAGCGCGTAAAAGATCCCCACGTGTCCAAAGACAAGCCAGGCAGCACACCTACTACATGTGGCAGTGTCTGCTCGCTGTTTCAGGGACTTGCTGCCAACAACTCAAGGTCCACAGCCTTGAATACGAGCTGGTCTGGCAGAATTCGACCCCGTTGAGGTTCCAGCTGCCCCTCCTCCATTTTGGGATGGAACAAGCAATCTACAGGTTTCAGAACCGATACATCACCAGTGCTTTCCTCCAGCAGGGGTGCCTTGGCCATGCAGTTCATCTGCAGAAATGGCAAGGCATCCATGCCGCTTTCCAGAGGCAATACCCCCCTCCTCTCCAGCGCCTGTGGCCCCCATCCCCATCCTCGTAGAGCAGCGTCGGTCCCACTCTCGCAAACGGGGAAGAGGCACTGTCGACTTGACCACCCCCGGCCACCTGTCCCCAACGGTGACTGGCGCCAGAACAGCCGGCCAGCGCGCGCGACCGCCCCGCCGTCCTCACCACCCCCATCCCACAGGCTTCCGCCGGGCCCGCCACGAGCACAGCGAATTTTCCTCCCGGCTCATATCTTGTCCAGCTTGTCGCCGCGCACGACGGGGTTCTCGGACGCGATCTTTTGGCGCTCGGAGGCCTTGTGGTCGAACTCGCAGGCGTGCGCCTCCGGGTACCGATGGCCCTCGCAGAAGACGCCCCCGCAGCGGCACTTGAACCCCATCATCCCCACGCGCTTCTTGCAGTTGTCGGCCGTGCACCGCCGCTTCCTGGGGTGGCTGCACTCGCCGCAGGCAGACGCCACGCCCGACGCATCCGCCGGGCCATCCGGCTCCCCACCGGCCGCATGGCCGCCCTCGTGCTGGTTGGGCGGCTGCGCGATCTGCCCCGCGCTGGGAACTGCCTCCGGCACGGCTTCCGGCCGGCGTTGAGTCGCGGGCGAGAGGTCAACCCCTTCCGCCACCGGGTCGCCGCTCTTGGAGCCGCGGCTGGAGCTGGCCACGGCGTCTTTGTCGGGCTTGTCCTGGGCCTTGCCGAGGTTGCGGAAGCAGATCGAGCACATGCCGCCGCAGCGAGGGTTCCTGTGTGGCGGGCGGGCAACGGACGCGGCTGTGAGGCGGAACTGCCAGCAACGCCCATTCGCAGTGACCGAGAGACAACGCCGCAGTTCTCAGCGGGCGCCGGACGGCGCCGCCGGGGGGTCCCTTCGCGCAGTCGCGCCCGAGCTGCGGCCGACAGCGACCACGCCGCGGCGCGAGCCCAACCGTGAACCCTGACAGCCGCATCTGTCTCTGTCTCTGGGTAGGCACAAGCGGTTCAACCTGCCTACGGCGTGGCTCCACCCCAACAATCCACCCCTTCCCCCCCCCGCCCCCCAAAAAAGTTCCCAAAATTGGGCGGCAGCGGCGCGCCACTCACGAGAAAAAGCCGCAGTTGTTGGTGCACAGGCTGGGCTGCTGCTGCTCGACGCTCTCGCCCTGCTCGCTGGCGGTCGTCCTGTTCGCGCTCATCGTTGGGCCTGCGCGCCGCGCCCGCGCCCCTCCTCTCCGCGGTGCTCTTCGTAGCAAGGCCGGCCGCGGGGGCGTGGGAGGGGGGGACCAGGCCGCCCGGCGTGCGACGCCCTGGGCTCTCTTCGTGGGTCCTAAAGGGGAATGCGGATTTTTCGTTCAGTGAGGCGCAGGTTCCGCATCAAACGATGTGCCCAGGGGTCCCCACTCAGGGCTCAACCAGCGGAGCACGGCGCCGATTGCACGCCCAGCGACCCGCCCACACACACTGGGAAAAATCCAGATTCTTCGTTTTCTTCCGAAGCAATGTGCCCGCCACGCAGATGTTGTGGACATTAGGAAAGAGGACAGAATGCCCCCCTCCAGCTCTGAGATGCGGATTCCCCGTGGCAGCTGCCAGCGCTCAAATCCAAAGGCCTTGGGGAGTGTGATATGGGGCATTTGAGCCCAGGCTGGTGGGGTACAGCAGGTTTTCCCCAACCACAGATGCTTTGGTCGTTTCTCGCTTCAGATTCTTCTGGTCACTGCAATACTATTCGTGTGGTGATACTTTCAAGGCCCTGGACAATGACCACTTGATGGCCTTCCATAGTTCTGGGATTCACTTACGAGTCCAGCCCACTGTCAACCGGCCCCAACCCACTTCAGTTGCCTTCTACCATCCAATTCTCGACCACCAATACACCTGAATGGCATCATTGGGCGGCCTCATGCAACAAGCGAGTAGAAGGAAAACTCGCCTTGCAGTGTTATTCTGCACAGGGCAGAAAGGGTATGGGATAGAAACTGACAAAATCCTGCAAGCACATCTGGCACCCAGTTCGCCGCCCAATGTTGTCCCTCCTGTTGCTGTCAGCACAGACACCCCGAAAATGTAACGACACCACTTGTGGTGGCAGCTCACTGTGGAACAACCAGGGTCTGGAACCTGTAGCCAGTCTGCAGTTTCCTGGACACAAGAAGTAAGACAGTCTTCTTGTTTGGACGAAAGTGGGTACCCGGATACCATCGCTTGCAGGCCTCCAACGTGTACAATAGGGGAATAGGAATAAATGATGTCCATGGACACAGGATCCCCCAATAGAAGCATGTGTGGAGTCTTCATGTGTGCAGAATTGTTCCATTTCAGGCACACTGATATTCTTGACAGAATGCATCTTGCAGCAGTGCATTGATCCCAACTGGAGTTCGCCTTAATGCAATGTATCTTTGAAGTTGCGTTCTTTTCCAAATGCAATTACACTGGTCCCAAAGCAAGATGGCAAGAGAACACTGTGGAATCCTGTGTTCTCTGATTTCCAGAGAGAGTTGAGGAGGTATTCTTGCCTCGTGTTCGCACCACAGCGTACAAAACCCACAACCACTGCAAGGGAAGCTGACACCAGTATGCTGAAATAACTGCAGAACAGCCTCTTCCAGATAGCTTTATCAGAACCAAGGAAGCAGCAAATGCCTCCGAGAATAACACAACGTGGTGCTGGACAATCACACAAGACTACGCTGCTGGGATTTCAACATCCTGTTCGGCTCTTTGCAAAAGAACAAAACCGCCGCGTTTCTGCCCTCTTCGTCGTGGTGTGCTTCAACATAATCTGTCTTCCAGCCATCTGCCTGTGCTGGCCCTCGCTACTTGCAGAATCCATGCACTGCATCATGCGGATTCCCCAGATCCAAATATGTGACAATCCGATGGAACATCATGTGAAAGCAAACAAAAGCCCCGAGCGCTGGCTGCAGCATGCACTGCACCACGGATTTCTCAGCGCAACAATGTTGGCCTTCAATTATTCAAGCAACACTGCTTTTTGCCAAACCACTGCGGCAGTTCAAGCCTAACATCTATGGGGGAACAGGGACCAGAAATGAACAAGGAAAGGATGCTGTATCCGCGCCGCACATGTGAGTGGGTTTTTGGATCATTCGCCAGGACCGCACTGTGGAGGTGGTGGTTCAAGTGTTCAGTACGGCTCCGCAGACAGACTCTATTCCAGGCAGCTAACGCAACCACGAGCAAACTGGCACAAGGACCTTCGCCCTCGTCATACGGCGGCTTGTCGAGCTGCCGACGCCACTGAAAATTCTACTTCGCCCACAGCCCTCCCCGCCTCCTGTGCGCGAAGCGGCTATCAACGCAAGGGCAAGGCCCTGGCAGGCGGCAAGGCGCCTGCAGGAACGCTCCGCCTCGGCCACCTATCTCCGTGTTGTTCCTCGCCCTCTCCAAACCTGCACCCGCCTGTGAAGCCCCAGCATCCCCCTTGTTCCTTGTTCGCGCTTTCGCCGAAGCCTCCCACGTACATTGGTTTACATGAAGAAGTGCCAA